CAAAATACCATGTCATTCAGTCTCCCCGTACTTTCCAAAAATTTATTTCGTTGTTGTTACATGACCTATACCCGAGTGAGTTACATAAATTATTAGTTTTTATTTTTTTGTCGTTGTCCTTTTGAGGTAGGTTTTCTTTACCAGTTCTTTCTCTTCGCAGAGGTCTTTTTTGCCGTAAGTTCTTTTTCATGAAGACATTTTAACTGATTTTTTTTTGTCGTCGAGGTCATTTTCACTAACTTCTTCACTCAGGTTTTTTTAGCGCAAGCTTTTGACACATATGTTATCAATTCTAGAAAGTGCTGTCATTATATTCCTGTAAGTACCATTAATTTCAGCAAATGTCGTTGCTATTTCTGCCACTTCCCCCATTCTTCCCCTATGGAAAAACTACTCCGCTACTGGGTGCAAGTGTTTTCGGTTTTTTCCGTAAGTAAACAACGGAAACTTCTACTCTTCACAATTAATATCATTACTCATCGCTGGTTTTCAGGAACTACGAGTTAATATTGGAACATTAACAATTAGTATATTTGACACTTGACATATAACTGCAAAATTTCGCTTTTGTTTGTAAACATTTACTAATGGCGAAGAGGATTAATTTTTTTGGTATAGAATTCCCGAATATATTGATTTCCAAATGCTGATTTCAAATTTGAGGAGGGTGAGTAACACATCTGGTAATTGTGCAATTTGATGAACGGATGTGAAGGGAATGGCCAGTGGTAAATGGCTGAGTTGAATGTAATCATTTGGGTGATGTTTGTAACCATTATTCATGTTGAATGTCATCTTGGTGAATTTCAAGATGAATTAGGGTTCCGGTTGTGGAAATTTGATGTATGAGCCCTTCTCAGGGACGAAAATTCATTTATCACGGAGATTATTGAATTAATTGATTATTTGGAATTCGTTCATCAACTTGGAAGATAGAGTGCAGCAATACATTATGTTAATTGGGGGAAAAATTATATATAGTCCACTGAAATAAAAAATTAAGACATTTCGTAAATTCTTTCTAATAATGTAGAATTGATTCCATTAATTCTATTAACGACTTATTTCAATAGAGTTTCACAATTCGTCTAATTACTTATCAAATGTCACACAAATGCATTGGATTTACTTTGAAGGCGGTTGAAAATACCATTTTAAACAGCTATTTGTTTACTAATTGCGCATTCAAACAAAAATATCCATCGGTACTTCAATTTGATGAACAAAAGATATATTCGCAAGCGAAAAGATACGATAGGAGTAATTGTTGATAATTGTGGGTTGTTGTCCCATTTGAAAAATAGGATTGCGAGTACTCCGATATCACACTCGTTTCTTCTGACATTTCGAGAAAATCGATCTGATATGCACGAGCTTTAATAATTCTTTCAAATTCTGGTCAATGATCTCAATGATAACTTCTACATGCCACTGACCAATCCACGGGGAATCAAATATTGACTTTGGACCGGTGATTTCGAATTTGAGTGCCTCAACCACATCTGGGAATGGTTATCGATTGGTAAACGGAAGGTAAATGAAATGTCCATCAATGTCTAGTATGTCCCATGTAGGATAACATCATTCGTATCAGAATCGATTGTTTTTATTATTAATACTGTCATCCTCTTTAGCCACTATTACATCCCTTTATCCAATTATCTTTCTCCAGATAATCCCGAAATTGAAAACAAATCTTCAGATACAATATTATGTGCTACATTGTTAACAATTTTTATCGTATTCAATTCCACAATTTATCAAGATTGTTCGCGGAAACTTTTTTCTTTTCTGTGAAAATTCAGAATTCCGTGAAAAAAATCGAACAAAATGATAAATTTCCATCTTTCTCACCGAAAAATATATAAAAGATGTCCACAATATTTCCCGGAATTTCCCGGAAAAAATTTCTCGGAAAAAATTTCCCGGAAAAAATTTCCCGGAAAAAATTTCCCGGAAAAAATTTCCCGGAAAAAATTTCCCGGAAAAAATTTCCCGGAAAAAATTTCCCGGAAAAAAAATTCCCCAAACAAAAATAAGAATTGCGTTGACCGTATTCCCCATATTCATCACGAGACTTTATCATACCTTCAGTAATTACACATACCGGGAAATCACTGAGGGTAAAATTTATCCGCAGAAATTTTTGACAGGGGAAATTTTTTCCGGGGGAATTTTGACGGAGAAATTTTTTCCGGGAAATTTTTGTGAGGGAAAAACAATCCGGTCACACCTTCAGCCAATCCCACATCGTCATATAAACTGCAGACAAATTGAAACAACGAATTTATTTGAAGCTTAAAGAAAAGGATAAAAAGGCAATATGCTTGTTGAACCTCCATGTATGGATAATGTACCAAAGTGACGTTAAAATATTGAAATGCCGCCGTAGGGCGTACATCCGAAGCGCGTGTTTTCGCGCGAAAATTGAAAATACCTCGACTTCAAAGAGGTGTTACCAAGGGGTGACTAATAAAAGCGAGTAAACGATTACGTTAGAGGGTTGAATATACGCCAATAGGGGCAGAGGAACGAACCGATGGTGAATACACATCTTTCGATGGGTTGAGTGACGAGAGCCAAATAGTTCGTCTTGCGCGTTAAATTAAGCTATTCCGGTATATATCAACTTTACTACTTTCTTTACAAGTTTCCCGCTCGAACTGCGAACACTGTTTTAAATATCTTGAAATTTAAGCTAGAAAGTCATCTAGGTTCTCAATTTCAAATTGCAATTTAATTTTAATTCGAAATACTCACTTCATTTTTCACTTATATTTGGAATTTTTTTTATTTGGGTTTTTATTTCATAATAATTTATTTTTTAATGAAAGGTTGAATTTTTAGGCTTATCGTGAAAATTAAAGATGAAATATCAGAAAAAAATATTGAAATATTTTTAATACATTGAAAATTCAAGAAAATTATGCCTGAAATATTCAACATTTTCCTAGCTTTCTAGAACCATATCGACTTGAAATTCGATAGGGACCTGAAGATTGAATAAATTAAACAATTCGTCAATGGAGAATTGTTACGGATTTCAATATTTTTCGTTTGGAATTTCAAGTGTAATTTTCCAACAGTCTAACTTCAAAACGGTATGAAGGGTTTTTCTTGAAAAAAAATTGGTCAAGTTCTTGTATACCCTTTCAATAGTTCATTAAGCTTCTCATGATTTGTCAAAAGAACTAGAGTCTAGCCGATATTAAATAAATATGGTAGCGCAATGGTTTGAGAATCCCATATTGCTCATTGACTCCGAAAGCGTGTGAGAAAGGCTTTTTGGCAGACAATGCGCTTGGGAAAGTACCCACAACTGTCTGGAGCGAATTCAGAGGAAAACTTTGACAATGTACCAAAAGATCTTATCTCCTGATACGGGATTTTTCTTTTCTACATTTTCCTACGTAACGGTTGAGAAAATCCATACAGCAGTTATGTGAAGTCCACTGAATTTTTCATGATACAGAATTTAGAATTGCCATTGCGATTTTTTAAATATGTCAACTGACTTTCTACTATAAATTTCGGTGAAACTCATTAAAATGAAAAACTTTGTTCTACCCGGATGATACCAAAAGTTTGGAGAATTCGGTATCGGAAGCCAAAGATTTTTTTTCAGCGGCTGAAAAAAAAAATTGACTCCATAATCGAGTAATAAATAAGCAGATAAAATAAAAGTTTTAAAAAAAAAGATGTTTTCACATTAAAAGTTGGTGTGATAGCGACGAAAACTAATCCTCCAGTTGGCGCTACATCACAACGAGGGAATTGAAGGGGTGTAGAAAAATGGGGATACAGAAGAAAAAATGCAAACGAGAGGTTGACGTTAGAGCAACCCTTTTTCACTGGCAACAAACGAACATGACCACACGCGAGGCTGGAGATGAGTTGGTTCCAGGTTGGAGGAGGTGAAACTAGGGTGGAGAGACACTGGTGTAGTAAAACGTGCTTTCACAGAAGTGGAGGGTTGAATCGGAAGTACGTGACCCGGCATACGAATAAGTTTTTCCACAGTGTGACGAAACCCCACTCAGGAGACTAGCTTTAGAACCCTGTGACGAGCCCTGATATAGACCTATTGAAAAAGACATTGCTCCTTCAAGATGAGCCATGGCCAATGTAACCATTATTTCTACGATAGGTAATCAAACAGAAAATTCATTAAGACTTACAGCCTCATTACGTTATAATTTATTATCCACGTATATAAATTTTAGTCAATTTTAGTATATTCGATTTTTACTGCGATGTCCAATGAAAATACGAAAACGTTTAAAAAAATAAGAAAAAAAAAACAGAGAGGTAGATTTCTATAATATCTTTTTATAAAGGATTCTATACAATCTTGAAGTTCTCGAGAACTGATAACATACTTAATGGAGAAGAAGTTGAGGAAGAATCAATTACCAACAAGGTTTTTTGATTTAAGTTCTTAAAAAAAGTAATGATTTCATAAGGAAGGAAATGAGTGTGAGTTTATTATCGCTATGATAATAAAATCCATGAAATTCATAACCGAGCGGGTAAAATGGTCTTGCATATTTCGCTACAACCACAGCCGAAAATTTTAGAGGAAAATTTACTTTGCCACTGTTTATCATTAGCAAAGCACTGATGAAAAGTTACGGTCAATGACTTGGAGAGTTTCGTAGCCAGGAGGGTATATACACAAGGTACTCGTTGACATTTTCAGGCTGGCAGAGTTGGCGTCTGATCCAGGCAAGTGGCTCTATGTAAACAAGACCCCTCTCTCCATTTTCTTCTCCAGTCTTTATTAATCGTCCACGTTACGGTCGAGGTACATCGGCGAAGCCAACTTTTAAACAAACATTTGACCCTGAGGGTTCACCTGCCAACCAATGGGAAACCTCGGCATTTCAGGAGTTATCTGCACCATACTTGTGACAGTGCCTTTATGTTGACTTTAAATTCTCAATATTGTTCAATTTCTGGCTGGCCAAGTTATGCATTTTTTTTTTGTTTATTTGTTTCAGGAGTGTTTGGAGGAGAGGGTCCTTGAACTGGAGAAGCTATTGCAGAATGAGAGGGCCGCAGCGCAACGAGATCGGGCCACTATCACTAAATTGCAGCGTCAAATCAACAAGGTAAGATATTATTCAATTTCTCCCACAGAATGACTCCGACTTTTCCTCAAACTCGATAAAGTAACTTGATTTTTGTGGCATTCGGTGTACCTTGGGGGAAATTAATTAATTAATTAATTAATTTTCTTTCACTTCCTATTTCAACAGGAAATATCACATTTTTAAACGTCTAGCTAAAATTTTCTAAGATTGTCTTTGTACAAGCTTTAGACTGAGATCTTCCGATTTCTAACATAAGTAAAAGCCAATTTAGTCCTCAAAAATAGGACTCAGACATTTCGAATGATTTTGAGACATGAAATAGAAATTTGCTAATATTCGAGAAATATTAAAAAATTTTACAAATACCAATCAATATCAAGAGGGTAACACCGACCGAGGAAGTTTTATTTATCAATTCAAACTAAAGTGTTTTATTTAATTACCATTCATAAATTACTGCCATTTAATATTTTATAGTGTTCAATTATAACGATATATTTCAGTGGCTCTTATTGCTTTTATGGGATCGCATTTTATGAACTTCATAAGCCTTCCTACATTAACTTGATAAGCAATCACAGTAAAAACCTTGATTCACGTTTATTTTATTCGTGAATTAAAGATATGAATACATTCGATCCGGGGATGTATGTCCTCGATTGGGGAATCCACATCCTTGAATCGAGAATTTAGATTCCGGAATCGGTAATGCATATTCCCAAATCAGTAATGCAGATTCCTGAATCCGGGATATCCATTCTCGAATAAAGAATATAAAGAAATCCAATTCAGGACTATAAACTCTCGATGCGAGTACAAAATAAACCTGAATCGAGTTATTTTTTTGTAGTATTCGCAAGAACATTCAGTAAAGGGATACAATACCATCCTCACACGTATCCTAGATTTCGCCGTTGAATTTTTATACTTCAAGTCACCTAATTTTTTATGATGGGTGCTTTATAGATGTACGAGACTTCTCACTCCTCCTCCCTTCTAGAGATATAAAATTTTTTTTTATTTATATTTGATTAAATTTCTTAAGTTCTTGCTAGATATGATTTAATCGAAATGATACCAGCTCTCGGCGTAACCCAGGGTTCGCGACGGGGACGCAGCTGGTATGAACCCCAGAAAGGTCGACGACCTAGAGGTTGGTAAGGTAGTACTTCACCGAACATTCACTATTTTTATGATTCTGTAAGTACTACGATGTCAAAGTGCACACAACAGACATGTCACGATGTGCCAATATGATCCAGAAATTTATCCAGAAGATATCTCCATACCATTTTCTTCTGTCGCCCTAGTAATCTCTCCACTGCAATCTTTTTTGCGAATATCACTGACACTCTTTAATTAATTGCCCCAAACAACTCTTCTATTTTTTCACAATGCAATTAATCTTACCCAACGAATCAACGCAATCGCGCCATCAACGAATGGCGTCATCATATCGCCCGTATTTGTAAATCCAAACTGGACACACCCACTAGAGTATTCCACCCTCCATACACCTTCCGCCCTTATCGCCCAAACGACAGAAATTTATTATTTCTTTTTTTCTTCACTGCTCGCCAGGAAAGTGATCGATGACCCCAAGGCCCGCTCTTCTGCCACCCAATAAATTACCCAAATCATTCTTCTGTTCCCTAAGAGAAGTCATGTCATCAAAATGATGTCGGCGCCAATCGTATGTGGTTTCATGTATCACAAACAGAAACTATTTCTCAGTTGTACATGCTGGTCTTAAGGGGAGGCTCACATTCCGAAAGTTCTACAAGTAGTCATCCCAAGTACATTTTATATTCTTTGAATGCCCTCATACTATAATACTTCATCTAAGTACAGAAGTTGAAATCTCAAACGGCGATAGAATTTTTAATTAACTAATCAGTTTTTCTCACCAATTCAAAGGGGATTGGCGATTGCGACAAAATTGAATGATATCAGTTATAAAAACGTTATTGATTATTTTTACTTTATATTTACTATATTTCTTACTACCTTTACATATCTTAGTATATTTACTTTTTCTCGTTGTTCCAATTAATAATCATAATCACAATAATCGAGCCATATCATTGCACAGGTACTTGACACCTGATTCTTCAATTTTTCCATCAAGTTGTTTTGACTTCGAAAAAGTACAAAAGTCCGCACTCCCTTAAGAAACGCTTTAGTACTTAAAGCAATACTTTTCGAGCACTTCTTGTACACTAATCCATAGAAATTTCTTTCTGAGTATATAATGGTATTTAAGGGTGAAATTGGAATACAAATGTGATAGTGAAATGTTTTTGGTTATAAAGTAAGTATAACCCCGCCGATACCACACACGGTCTGATACATTATCTCCGCGTAGCCACATTGCGGAGGGGGTAATCTCGACTGATTTATGCCGCCGCGTGAGCGCGATTCCAAGCCCCGGTAAAACGTCGGCTATGGTTCATTCCAACGTTATTTTTCCCTTTTTTCTACTCTTTTAGTATTTACTTTAGTGGAGAATTTCCGTATAAACCCCACGGCGAAAATCGAACCCCGGGTATTCCGGGAATTTCCTAGCTTCCGTTGCGTGAGAAAAGAGCGCCTCGGGGTTATCGTTTGCTCCGCCAGAATCGTATTTCTTTTGTTCTTTATGGTTAATAATCTAGGGGATTTGAGACAAATAATAGTAATAATGAAATTTCTTGATGTAGTTCGTGTAAAGTTTTTGGGCAATTGGAGTTTTCGGTGGGGTTGGATTCATTTGATTGGGCCCAGGGTTATTTAGGCGCGCTGAGTCTTTGCATTTAATTATTAATTCAACCTCTCATTCTGTCTCCTTCAAAAGTAATTTCCATTTTTGCTTCAGAATAGAAGCATTGTCTGCATTAAATTCGAAATTTTCGATTTTGGAATTCGGGATGAATAATTATCTTGGTGGGTCTTGGTGGGTCAACTATGCAATTGTTAGATCATATCTTATGTATTCATATAGATTTCAGATATACGTATATATCTGAAATTCGAATCGACCTAAGATGAGCGAGGGTTATTGTAAGCCTCGAAAATCTCGCAAAGCTCGGACCCCAGATCAAGGATCGATCGTAACACGTTCAAGTTATCGGAATCAATTTGCTGACAAGCAAGCTAAGACAATATCCTATAATTATTCTACCGGCGGTGAAAAAAAATCACCGGTCCATATTGCTCCACCCTCCCCTAATGACATCACTTGGATAGATTTGGTGAGAAACTTCAGAAATATCAATTGTTCAATATCCAGATCTTATTACATAGTCGTACATAATTCACACCCAATGGTTCTTTCACGTCGTTGACCACACACGGTGACGGCAATTTTTTGACCACAGAGGGTTACTAAGAGGGTTGTACTAAGGAGGGTCCTTCATGTACCTCCCCCCATTGGCTATGGTTTTCCGACAGAAACCAACGGTCCGAATTTTCAGCCCTTTGGAATGAGGAACCCCAGTATAGGAGAGTCATTTTCCGGTCATTTTTTAGGAGAATTGCTTCGCTCCATTATCCCCGTTTCGGCCAGATTCTCTAGTGCACTGTTAGATAATTGCACTTGAGATCTCACAATAAAAGAACGTGAAATTTTCTCCAACCGCAAAGTCATATGATCTTTATTTCCACTTGGCAACGCAATAATTAGGTTATAAGTCTCTGAATATTGAATTAAATTCTGATTTTCTGAATTCTGAAATCTTTTAGCATTCGTGAATTATCCTGAATTTAATTAAATTTAATGTCCACGTTTCATACGAAAATTAAAAATTCAATTCTGATGATGCGCTGAGAAAAAAATGTGCTGTAGCCAATAATATTTACTATCCACCAGTAAATCTGGCAATCGCTCTGTAAATAGTCCCATAAGACTTACTAATACCGAATATCTTTTCTTGTGGTTAATAAATATTATTGCCTAAAGAAAATGATTTTCTCAGTATGGTCCAGATCTGATATTCCAAGCTTGAACCCCGCGACTTCAATCAAGCTTGGTCCAATATATCATGTATGGTTGTAGTTCGATTCGATATAAATGTCCATCTTAATGGAGTATGGAGCGCAGAGAAATAATTTAAACACCGTGGATTAAATACGTTAATTTTAGTTTATTAAAAATGGCACGAGGAAGAAATGTGGGTTCTCTCTGACCTGCCTCAGCAGACTAAAAGTGGTCAACGAGACCAAAAGAAAACTTGTCATCCCCAGACAAAGGACCCCGAGTCCCTTTGCCACATAACCTCATTGCTCATGTTTATGTTTAGTCCCAACATCTCTTTCTATGTTGATTCATTTTTGAAACCATAGACTCATAAAAATTAATTCATAGAAGACTGAGGCTATATTCCAAGACATCTCCCTGGTAAATAGAACACTTCGCATATATACCGTTCTCAGCTGTGCAGCAGGCCAAGAATTTTCCGTTATTCGCGTCATTTCACCATTTTCATTACCCATTCCAAATAGCTCTGACCCGAAAAGATTAACGAAAAAATCTTCGATCAGAACTAGCGATAAGTTTCGTATAACAATTTATCCGAAAGGGTGAGGGAGCGGTAACGATCACGATGAGGACACCCGATACGAGAATCTGCGATATCCGTGTCCCCCCAAAATGTCCACTAGAGATAAACTTAATTGAATGGCATAGCATTTCTTCTCTCTCTTTCCTCCTACTCTTCAGAAAATATATGAAGGGACATGCAGAAGTCGGCAAGGCCTGAAGAGAATCACCATCATCGAGAGTGGGAGGGCAGACGATGACGCTCATTCGTTTTTGTTTGTACCTAATAGCAACCAAATGGCGACTTGCTGCTTGGTGAAATTAAAGGACAAGAGGGAGCAACCTAATAAGATGAGTGGAAGAATTCTTATCTCCAACTTCTCCATCTAGATAACCAATTACTCATCGTCATAGTGAAAAAGTGAGGGTGCATGATTTTAGGGTTTTTCGCATCGATTTATTGCGGTCATTCGTTGCCGACAAATATGATAAATATTAGCACTCTCGAAATTACGTTTTTTTTTTGGGTGGAGCTTTTTTTGTAAAAGGACATGGAGCAACTTATATTCAAGGATACACCTAGCTATTTATTTACGCGCTGAGAAAGAAAGGCTTCTTCATTTACATTTGCAACAAACTTGTTTTTGTCAGCGACCAACAGGATTTCTTAATCAATCTTTTCGTGAAATTGCCGATTCGTGACACTAAACATTCATTTGTTTTTCCGAAAATTCTATTCCCAATTAATTATTCACTCGAATCAATCCGCTGCGTCCGTCAATCATGTTGATGCAGGCTCGAATCGCCTGAGGGTATATAACGAAAGAATACGAAAACGATATTCAAGTGTGTCGATACTTTTTATTAAAAAAATTTAAAAAAAATTAATAAGAAATAGTTTAACTATTAAAACCTCTCAATCGTTACGGTACAATGACGGAGCAACTTGTTGTCAACGAGTCATCAGATTGGTGGGTAATTGTTACGGAAGAGATCGATTTGTCGTTATTTTTCTGGTAATTTTTATTTGATTTTCTTCCACGTGCAGGGCATGGCATTATCTCATTTTCTCCCACGAGCATGGTAATCACTCCTGCTTAATCCTCTCGGTATTCAATTTGAGAAATGCGTCACGAGAATAACCAGATCTTCCTCGAGACAAAATTGCCCAGCTCCACTAATGATTGCGACCTCGACTGCTAATGACAGATCAATAACAGCAAAACGTCAGACGATGCATTACTTTGTACCAAGAGTCAAGGCCGCGATAAGACGCTAAATTATTTGCAAGTTGAAGATTCTACCGTTTGAAGGACTCTATGGGAATAAAAATTAATTTTCGTCTCCCTTGATGGCCATGAACAATGGAGCCCAGAATCTTCCAGAAACTTATAATGAAGAAATTCTTTACCGAAGGATTTTCAAGGTAAGACTCGAGGGGGAGCATTCATGCATTTGCGTGGACAAGTTAATTAACATTTTGTTTGCAGTTCTGGGTGTACGAGTTATGGAAACCATTGGAATGATTCTATAGTACTTTTATCGGACGGTGAAAAAAAACTTTTCCGCGAGAGGTTTTGTCGTGATTAATCAGTCGACGAGTTGAGCAGTGGAAACAGCCAGAGCAAAATACTGACATTTTTTTCAGCAATTTTTCTCATCCCTTTCATCCCTTCTGTACATCCCTTTGTTCTCCTCTGTCCTGGATTTTCGCGACGAATATTTTCAATTTTAGATGAAAGAATTTTTTTGTTTTTTTCATTCTGTTTCTTTTTTTTGGGAGGGGGAGAGGACGTTTATCCCTCGATGCCTATTTCAGCTGGCGCCAAGTGGGAATGCTCTTGTGGGAATGGGAAAATATAAGTGTCTGAATATCTGGAAATGTCAGACCGTGATGATGACTAATGTTTCGATAGAACGATTTACATCCCCTGAATTTATCAAGGAAATTGTATATTTTAGATTGGATTCTTCAAGCCACCGGTTATGCTTTTGGCGAATTTCCAGGATAATACTCATGAGGCAATGAATTCTTCCGAATTATTCTTGGAGTGAAAATATTACCATTACCTTTGGCAAACTCATTGAATACTGATATCATTTGAAATTCGTCGAACGGTAACATTTCTGGTGGGATTATAATATTATTTTTCCTAATATATACTTTTGTTTATATTTTTAATGTTATTTAACCGTAAAATAATCTTCTTTGAATAATATCAATTCGTAAATTGACAGCTCAATCGATAATGACAATTCGACATGCTAATATTTATGAACTCCAGTTCTGTTCAATTTTTTATTGCTTGGGAATTTATTGTAAATTTCTAGTTTAGGTATTATTTCCATTGAATAAATTTCATTGTTTGATTTACTGTTTACTCGGGTTTTCTCTATTATTTTAATTATAATATAAATTCTTGGTTTGCGCAAAAAAATTGTTATCTTTGTTTTCTTTATTTGTGTGAAGTAAATTAACCAATAATCAAAATATCGAAATATATTCTCTCTTTATGTACACGAGATACATAAATATAATTGTGACGAGCGAAAAAAAAAATCAAACTTAATATCCAAAAACTTGGAAACCGTTAGCCCAATAAAAAAAGAGCCCCCGAATTTCAGCTCCCACAAAAAATTATCCAATTTTTATACTTCCATGATAAATCATGTCATACAAAAAAAAAATATTTTCCATCTCATTCCTACGCAGATATATCTGTAAAACCATAAAAAGTTGTCACCCAATTCCCCTAAAATACGCCATAATCCCGAATCGTCTAAAATCGCTGAACCTGCACAAAACCGAAAGACATTATTAAAATGATAAATCACAGTATCAATAACTATCTCACACGAGCCAAGCAATACGGTCGAATAATGTTCCCTTAACGCCGACATTTCGCTCCTCTCAATTCCGCCTCTTTTCTCCAAAACCTCCACCGAAGTAAAAGAAAAAAAAAAAAAACACGAAGGTATTACCTCCAAAAATCATGAAAGACCATAAACGCTGATGGATAGTCGTATTTGGCTGATATAAAAAGGTCCACCTCGGGGTCTTTTGCATCGATTGGAAGGAACCTGTTCGTAAATCTTAACGTGAAATTTATATCGTCTCTGATCTTAGGTCCGGAGGTTCCGTACAACATGAGGGTAAAAGGGGGGCAAAAGGGGGTAAGAGGAGGTAACAGGGGAAAAGGGGTGTAAGAAGCAAATTCGAAGGCGTCAAAGATGAACGATAGGGTCGTTGTCTCTCCCTCTCCATTTAAAACAGAACTACTACCCTAAGAAGATCCCTGGCGCCGCTCTATATCGACCGTTTCTCTGTCCTCCTCCCTCTCACACCCTCCAACATTCACCAGCATAAACAATACCTTTTAGAAGAGTTTCAAATACGACCTGCAATAATCGTATCGGGCAATTCCAACAGTTGTGATAAAAAAATTTTATTTTTATTTTTTTGTAAGTTATTTTTTACGTTATTTGGAGAATTTTATTTCTTTCGGGGGTCGTTATAATTCCCAGACACGATAACCGTTTTCAAATGGGGAGATGTACATTGGGGGAGGGGTTGTTTTTAGAGAAATTAGGGATGATATGGTGCATTTAAACGGTTTCAAAGTTTTAATTGGAATGCAGGTGAATGGGATTTTTTTTTATTTGCAGCATTAGCTGTGAGTGTCGAGTGTCGAGTGAAGTAGTGGTAATAAATTGTGGGAAGTTCATCAGAAAGCAAGAAAAATAATGATTGATTGTATTTTAGTTAATTTGATGAGTTTGTCAGGGATGGAAATTCAGTTGAGATTTTAAATGGATATAGTACTGTCAGCTATTAAGAAAAGGAAAGTTTTTTGGGAAGTCCATCTTTGCTGTTATCGAGTAAAAATTCGAGTTTTCATTAAAAAAATCAATTGTCATTTACCATGACATTTAATATGAGAAATTTAATGAACGTTTTTAATTGAAATAGAATTTGAACTGATATTTTAAAAAATGTTTATCAGTGAAAAAATTGGAGTACATGGAGTGAGAACCGCCAAGTCGAATAAGCTTCTCCATTTTATTTTCAGCCCTTCTAGCCCAACTATTTCCGAAGATTGTCTAACCTTTTATCCGTAGTATTCAATAATCCTCTGAAATTTATTTGGTCGAAATTGTACATCCCGGAGAATGTACCGGAAGGATTCAATTTAGATTTTCGTGCGAAAAACTCACCCCTTGGGGTTGCCAGTATCATAACCATTCTAGAGTGAAATATGTCGTTTGGAAAGATGCGTAACTGGGACAAAATGGAATTTTGAATAGAAATGCACGTGTTTGTTAGTGAAGTAGGTTTTAATCGCTGGGTAACAGATGGTGATGTGGTTTTGGGCTCGGTTTTGATGGGATAACAATTCATTCGGATGGGGATGTTGAATGCTATTTAACTAGAACAGGACTTACGTGATCGGTACATAACTTTGTACTTAGGGAAACATTTGGCATTCTCACTAATTCACTCATCATGCACCAGTCACCAGTAGAGGGATGACATTTTTTGCTGGGCGTCTGATATATCTTGGCGGTGGACAATATCTACACTGAGAGAAGTATTAAATAAAAATTACGTGTATTTTTCGTAATTCTGGAGCGAAATGTGGTTGTCGGAAGTTTTATGGAACTGTCACGTAATTTTTATCTAAAGTCACAGAATTTTTCCGCGGTGTTCCGTAATTTTTATCTGAATTATCGGTCAAAAATAACGATACCGTCACTTAAATTTTTCGAATCAACTCCGTAATCGGTAAGTGAACTGAAAGTTCCGTAATTTTTACTAAATATTTCTCTCCGTGTACTAGACAATAAGTCAAGTCAAGTATGAAATATACTCATAAAAATTTCTTGTAATTTCAGTGACAAAGTTTTAATTATATGAGTTTTTATTGAACTCAATTAAAAACTGTCAGTAAGTTTCGAATTTATCTTTTAATTGTATCCAGAGATAATGAAAGATTTAGAAAAAGTTCACTAATAGTTCATTGATTCGTTAAGAATATTCATTATACTTAGAACTATGTTGTTACAATAAATTATGCTCCTTACATGTTATTAACGTAACAATTCCAATTTTTCTGGAATAATCATCGCCGTATTTTATCGTAACGATGGTAGTGACTCTGAGTTAATTTATGCACGGAGAGAAAAATACTGGAAAAATTACGGACCTTTCACGTGTTCGTGGGGTGGCCTTGCTCTTCGGAAAAACTACTGGAGGTACCGTAAAATTGTCCTGAAAGTTTCATAAAAATTCCTGCTCGCTACAAAAATTTTTACGGAACTTACAGTATTTTTCCCAAGGTCCCCCCACGAATGCGTAAAACTTCCGTAATTTTTCCGGTATCTTTCTTTCTGTGTACTTGATTCAAGTATAACGTATATATAGGTGATTCAACTATTTTCCTTTATGTCAATTAATCCACATGATTTTTACAAAATGTTGCAATCAAAGAAATTAATCGACTTAAAAAAAAAACCATTACATTTCAATGATTCAGAATTTAGTTGAATGCCTCATCACTCATGGATCATAAAACGTTCATCATATCCCCAATGAATATTACAATTAAATATTAAAATTGAAATATTTTATTCACGTGCATTTAAACTCTAAAAAATTGCATTCACATCGCAACATTGTATTTAACCGAATAAACAATTGCATCATCAAAAGAATTGAAAAAATTGATTTCGATGTGAATCGAGCTGCAAATTGAAAAAGATTTATCACTGCCCGGGTTTTGTTCGTCACATTTCATTCTCTCTCTCCATCCCCCCGAAAAATCCTCCAAAAAATGCGGAAAAGCCCCATAATAAATTAAAATGATGAGCCTCGGCGACACCTCGGCGTAATGTCGGCAGTTCTGCTAACAATTTTTCACCCGATTATTCCGCCATTTTTTTTATTGTGTACACGTGTCCCTGTCCAAAAGCGATCAATGAATGTTAGCGAGGGGCGGAGCTAAACGAAATTAATTATAACCAATTTGTTATATCAGCAATAATAATTATGCATTTGTTGTGAGAATGATCTCATTACATAATCAACAACAATGTCTTGAAATCTAGTTGTAGGGGTAACTTCACTCTGTCAATTTCAATCACTGAATCATTTCCATTGAATAAACTTTATTTCAATGTAAATAATTTACCTGAATTTTGAATTAGAATTAGAAATTCAATTCTATTTAATGATGAATTTCCACGATGGCCATGAAAATTGGAGCCTTCATTGAAAGATCAATTATTATTTACCACGAATAATTGAATGTTCTTGAAATTACCAGACAAATGCAAAATTTAGTGCACGTCTTTAATTAAAATTCAAACTTATATAATTGGCAATTCAGATGAGAGCGGAAACTTGGGGTCAATAACGACTTGCGAAAAATACCGGAATTACTGCCGCCGAAAAGTACGAAAAATACTAAAATACGAAAAATACAAGTACTGGAGTAGTGAATCCCTTTGGAAAGTAACGAAAGGTATTGCAGAAGGTGGTCAATTTACCTGGGAAAAGTAATAATAGTACTTTTCGAAACTGACCAAATATTTATGGCCAGTATTTTCCTGATATTCCTCAAGTCCGCTGTTGGAAAATCACACATGAAACTTGAAGTAAAAAGACTTGACATTTTCTGCAACAAAATGACATAAAATTCCTGTAAAATTCTCCTTTAACGAATCAGGTAATTTCTTTAATCTAGCACTTAAAAACCATGAAAATATTCAAAATTAAAGCAACAATTTTTCCTGAATTAAACATCAAATACAATTGAATTTTCAATCAATAAATCAAATACTATGAAAGATTCAAGTCTTAATTGAAAAATGAATATCTATTGAGCCCCACAAATTCTATTATATTATCCATTCGTGAAAATAAACTTTTAATTTATTGAGTATTTCTAGTTGAAATGAAATTGATTTGAAGCTCATATTATAATTGAAAATAAAGAGGTGGTTGTGAGTGAAATTTGAAAAAATTTTCAAGAGTATAACTGGCCTGAATTAAGTGGCACTTGGTACTGGGTAAAATTCCATTTTTTGTTCATTGCACCCATTCA